ACGATGATTTAATCGCCACTAAATGGCTGAGATTTGGTCGCGACATAGTAAAAACCATTAAATCGCGATTGAATCTCTACGATTCAGTCACAAAATCGCGACGATCACGTGACCAGGTTGTCAGAATTTGATAGGTTTCAGTAAAGTAAAGCTTATTAAATAAATATATTCTTTCTTTAAAGAACTGTTTTTTAAATCAAAAATCAAACTTTACTTAAAAATTATTATATTGTTAATTTAAAATATCAGCAGTATATACAATATTAATTTTTTATTATAGTATTACATATTTTGTTATGTTACAAAAAAACAAAATTTCTACTTAAAAAATTTTTTATCAAAATTATATTAGTTTATTTCTATTAATTATTACATTTAACTTAATTAATTAAATATTATTAAATATTAAAATAAATCCATATAACCAATATATTATACAATAATTATTATAAATAAAATCTATTCTAATAACAATAATCAAAATAAAATTATATCATTAATAAAATAAATTAATTATTATATTAATTATAATTATATCAATATAACAAGAATATTTATTTCTTAAATTGTAGAGTATTTTTTTTATAATGTTTAAAATTTTTTAATTAAAAAGTCACTTTTCATTTATTTTTTAAATAATCTTAATTATATATTATTTATTGATAGTATTTATTTTTTATTTATTTAATAAAAATTAAAAGTTTAATTATAAGCAAAATTTTGAATTTTTTAAAAAAATTTTTTTAATAAAAGTTGATCTTAGACAAATTTAAAAATTTTTTAAATTAAAGTTCATATAATTTATAATCAATTTTATAGAATTATTTGTAAAGAATAACTTTAATTATTATAATTTTAATAATTGTTTATAAAAATTTTAACTTGTATTAGAAGTAAAATAATTTTTTTACTTTAAACATATACTAAATTTTATATAATTTTTTATGTTAAAATTTTAAACACAAAGTTTAAAGTTATTTATTTTGAAAATTTTCAAAAAATTTTTAATTTTTAACTTAATAAAGTTAATAAAAAATATCTTAAACTATATTTTTTATAATATAAGTAAATTATAAAAATGATCATTTAAAATTTTATTAAAATTTTGAATATGTAGGCAAATTTGTCTACATTACAATTTAAGGAATAAAGTTTATTTTATTTATGAAAAGTCATGAACTTTTATAAAATTTAAACCAGAAGTTTTATCTTATGCATTTTTTTTTGTTTTGTCTGTTTTTAGCTTATAATTATTGAAAAATCAAAGACTATATCTTTATATAACTTAACTTTTTATAGTCGAAATCTGAATATTTAAAAACTTCATATATAATAAAACTGATAAACTTATATATAAATAAAATTTTATATGTTTTGCCTCCTGTAAATATTGAATTAAATTTAAAAGCACTATTTACTATTCTATTAACTCACAAAATCAAGAAAAATTATATTTAATATTTAATATAATTATTAATCATATACTGTATATAATTTAGGTTTTAGTAAATATTTGACTTTAAAATCAACATATACTGTACATATAAGAATTTTTATTATATTACTTTTCAAACTATATATATTTTTCTTTTTAGAAACTTATTTATTATTATAAGCAATAAATTTATATACTGTATATAGTAATTTTTGTATATCCTATGTCTTAATATTAAATATGTAATATGTATTAACATTTATTTTTTTAATAAAGATAACTCTTCTTGAAAAAAAATGATATTTGTTTTTTTAAAATTGATTTCCATAAGAAATTATTTAAAAATTGTATGTTATTATCTACAATCTGATTAAAAAATATCACTCAGATCAAGTATATTATAAATTTGTAAACTTATTTATTTCTAATGACTTTTTTAAAAAGATTACGGTAGTTTATTTTATTCTTTATTATTATATCTCTAAAAAAATTTTAAAGATTTTATCAAGTTGTAATTTGTACTTATAACTTACAAGTTTTAACAAAATTAATTATTCGATAATATAAATTCTAGTATAAAAAATACAATAATTTTTAATTTAAAAATAATAAATATGAAAAAATATAATAACAGGATTTATAAAGGACCAACTGAATTATAAATTAGCTATTTAATAAAATGCACCAATGTTTAAATGTTCAATTATTATGATCGACTTTCAGCGTGACAACCAACAGCAGTCGTCGATCAATCGCCGTTAAAAAATTCTAGAATAGTAATATATGTCAAGTTTATTATCGAAATATTATACTGTATAATAATGAAGCAATTAAAATTGTTTTCTCAAAGTCGAATCAATGCTGATCTTCACAAGTTGGGTAAACTCATTTCTATTTATGACTTCTTCATCTTCCCTTATAGTTCGTCATGATATAATCACCTTTCTCAACCTTATCTATGTCAAGTTATTGTCCATTAAATTTCTACCAAAGAAAGACGCATCTCTATTAGTCGTGCTGTTTAAATGATTCTGTTCATTCGTACCACCATTTCTCGTCCTATTATATGTATTATCACTATTATTATCATTATTATCATTGATGAGACTGGTACTAGAATTTCTACTGTAAAAACTATCATTAATATTATCTAATTTTTGACTTACGATATTAACATTGTTCTTTTCATTATAATCTTCTTTCTCTCTTATTATTCTAACAATCTCTCTTAATTCTTTTTCTCGATCATTGTCTCTTCCCCACATCCGACCAAGATTTATCTCTGCATCATCTATAGGTTTCTTGCCCCATCGATCCTTTTTCTCGGCATTGATCTCTTGAAGAGATAATAAATATTGCACCACAGCCAATCTTCCCTCAGCAACTGCATGATGAAGAGCCGTACGATGATCGAACCCTGTTCGATTTACGTTAAAACCGGCGTCAACAAAATGCTTCAGTAACTCCACGTCACCTTTCGCTGCTGCTCTGTTTATTATTTAATAGTTGCGCAATTATGCATTGTGAAACTTAATTACAAGTCTATTAAGTAGAATTAACAAATATTTGAATGGGATTACTTACGAAAAAACTTGAAACATAACGTCATCAATCTCGGCATCGTTGAAATGTGCACCAGTATCGCGTAGTAGCTTTATGATATGTTCGTGTTTGTTCCTTGCGGCCTCAAATAATGGTGTGTGATCGAATCGATCTCTCATGTGAACCGATGCCCCATGCTGTAATAGGAATTTCACAATTCTAACGTGACCAGCAGTGCACGCAATGTGCTGGTTAAATTTATGAGATTGACGTGTAAGAAAACAACATAACAGAAACGAGAATTTTACGAGAAAACAGTAATGAAACTACCAGAGGTGTTCGCCCATCATAATCTATACAATTCAGTATCAAGCTATCATAACTCTCCCACAACAATAGTATTCCCTCCAAGTCATTAGTGCCAGCGGCTGAACATAACAATATTGGATAAATCGATTTTTCCATCAAAACTTTTTCTTGAACGTTTATCATCAACGCGGAGTCTGACACACCGCCTCGCTTGGCATCAGCGGCCGCCGCTAAATCAGAACACAAAGTTAAAAAAATGCGGTAAAACCTATACAATTATAGTAAACATGTAACCATACCTATCATATTTTGAATAATTTTATGTGTACGATTGTGAAAAGTGAATCGAGGTTTCTGGGCTACAACGGTGAGTTCTCCTCGAAGATTCTTGGTCATCAATTCTCGGACAACTTGAGGGGAATAACGATTCTTTTCATCCCCTTTGCTTAATAAATATGAAAGTTTAACCAATGCGCACTGGTAATGTCAAAATAAGATGTATTAGAATTTTCGACCATCTTCCAGCCCAAAAGTTTGCAAAAGGCACTACCTCCGGCGTCATATCACTACCCGGAACCACTCCTATTTTCGTGAGGGATTTCCCGGTTGCATAAAGATCAGTTACCATTCCTTTCTTACATTGGGTGCAATTCACAATGACAACACCATTATTACTGGCTTCTTCTAACGCTTTCATAATGTCGCTTCTTGTATCTGGTATATTTCCTGCGCCAAAAGTTTCCAAAATAACACCTTCTATCGGTAGCGCTAATAACGCTCGTACGGTTGATTCGGTAATACCAGGAAACAATCGCAAGCTGCTCACATTTCGGTTGAGAATTTTATGCGCATTAAATTTTATGGCTGATGGACGAACCACTTCTGCCCAATTCACGTCTAATATACTAAAACGGTTAAACAAGAACTTAGCATAAAATATCAAGAAACCGAAAATCGCTTACTGATATTTATTCCGACTGTTGCCAGTGGAACCAGATTCGGAGAATCGAATGCGTTAAACTCCACGGCATTCATTTTAACTGAACGATTCCCACGGAACAGTTTATTGTTGAAAAATAGACATACTTCAGGAATAACATAATGACCAGCGATAGTTAGCGCCCCCAATAGATTTTCGACTGCATCATTCCGAACCTCCGATATCGGTACCTACAAGATCGATTTTATTTGATTAACCAAGTCAGGGTCCTAAGTAATCGTGCCATTATTATGAAACGAAACTTCACGCACCTGTGAGCCCGTTAGTATAACGGTCTTTCTATATAATAAGAAAAATAAAAATCATATAACTGTTCGGTAATAAATATCGACAAATCGAATAGAACTTACCCCAAATTTTCAAGTAGAAAGCTAAGTGCACTGGCAGTATAAGCCATTGTATCCGTTCCTAAGATTCAAACACTTGAAATTAATACCTGCATCAAGAATATATATATGATATGTAAAGTAATACCATGCAAAATTATGAATGCATCATATGACTCGTAATTTAACTCGATGTCGGCAGCAATCCGTATCCAATCTAATAAGATCCAATAATTTGCAAGTGAATTGAGAAAGGTAAAAACCGAATAATTTGTCACATTGACTTACCTTCACAAGACATGTTACATGAATCTAATAAAGGCTCATATTCTACAACAGAATATCTAGGTAGCAGAATCGACTTCAGAATATCATAAACATAAAATTACATTCTTCCAAAATCCGATTACAAAGATACCTAATCCTTTTTCCTTGCAAAGAAAGTGGAGTTATTAAACTGCGCTGATAAATATTATACTGTGTCTGCAATCCATTTTTCCAATCACTGAGGGTGACCTTATTTGTGAGCATATCATAATCATCATTGTCGGTTGGATATGAATGATCTTTTGACAAACGGCGTAGACAACTATAGAATTTCTGATCGTGAAATCTTGCCATTCCTGCCAGTCTATCCGTGAAATAGTTTGGTACCTAGAATTTCAAAGCGGAATAGCGTAAATATGTGTGTCAACTAATATTCTGAGATAATGAAATGCATGCATACTGGTGTGTATCCATGTGTGTTGGTGTTCTTCATGCCTATAGTCCCGCCCGTATAAATCACAAGTACTTGGGAAATGTCTGATGTTTTGAGTTAAAAGATTAGCACCAAGTAACTTTCTGAAATAAAAATTCAAATCAAGTTGCATACCAGGAGTCACAATATCGTCTTGTTCCTGATTTAAAAGTAATTCGACCGCGTCATTTCGTATTGTAGGTTGTTTAATATCATTGAATTCTTCAGTCGAGGCGCTCGGGAAATATGTCCTCTTTGATGAAGGGGGCATCATGTAGTTTTGCTCTGAAGGCTCTGTTCCATCACTCTTTCTCTTTGCACTGTTAAACTCATTGTTAGGATTACGCTTAAGGTGCAAGTCAATCCCGTTTTCGGAATGATGGTTATTGCTTGTACTCATTTTTTTATTCTGTCCGAGATTCTTCGGAATAAAGGGAAGCTTTGAGATGGTTTTTGCTAATCTTATGGAAAGGGTTTTTTCCTCTTTAAAAGGTTTTGTTGGAAGAACCTCTTCCACCTGCTTTTCTCGGTATGTTAAACTTTTTTTCTTTGAGAGAGAATTCATGGTAATATCTAATTTGGAAATTTATGAAGTACTCGATCGACGATTTCCAAACAAACAAGCGTGGGAAACAAAATAAAGCAGGTGATTCGACCTCAAGGCTGCACCAAACCAGTTTTCGTCGTTGTAGTCTTATTTATCTCCAACCATTGACCATTGACAATTGACCATTGATATAATCTACCTTGCAGTGAAAAAACTTAATCAAAACGTAGAATGCGATGATTCTTGGACACAAAGCAAAAATTATCCAGCCAAGAGGAAAACACACGTTAATATAATAGGTATTAAAGAGAATGAATTAGGAAGCTGCCGAGCATCACATAATATGCCCTTCATATAAAGCAGGGTGGCAGATAGCATATACATGCCTCTTCTGATGGTAAATACAAGGCTGACATGTGCTACCTTTTTTTAATGCAAAAAGGGTTTTTCTTTTAATTCTTTTAAATCACACATAACAAATCACTATACTATATTAGTAAGATAATTGAATTGACATACTGTAAGTGGATACTTATATAATAATTAAAAGGATACACAAAATATTATTGGACAAAATATTATGAGACAAAAAAATTCTTTATTAAGTATTACTTTTCATTTTTTAACTTTCAATTAGTTAAATCAATCAAACAATTACAATAAAAATTGTATGTATAGTATAAACATATTTGATTTAACTTATTTATTTATAACACTAGATTTTTAAATACTATTTGCTTCATAAAGTTATAGTTTACAAATAATTTCTACAAATTAGATATAAATTCAAATTGAATTTTTAATTTAATATTATTTTTATTATTATATTCAAAAAACATATTTTTTATTTGTTTGTTTTTTAATTAAGCTAGAGTTTTTTATTTATTAAATCAAAATAAACCAGTATAATAAATATTATATATATATATCTTCTCAATTGAACTTATTCATTTATAATATTTTTAATTATAGTTTATCTACCAATTAAAATTAAAATTTTTTTTGTTTTATAACTTGCAGATTATCTTTACAGATTATATTATAAATACAAATTAAATTTTTAATTTAATATTAATTATTTATTTTATTAATATACAATATATTAAAAAAGTCTTTAAATAAATATTTTTTATTGTAATTTAATAAATAATTATTCAATTTTTAAAAACTTGTCATGTTTTTTTTATAATATAATAATAAATTTTTTGAAATTTTATTAATATTTAGTTATAAAATATTAATTATATATATATAGTCGGGGACAAAAAAAACCACCTTTTTTTTCAATTAATATTTTTAATTATAATTCAATAAATAATTATTTAAATTTTATGAAATTTT